CACTCAGAAGTCTCTCGATTTAGGTACCTAGGCATACAGACGCGGCACGCACTGATGTAATCCGAGTCGCTGGGAACGTCGAGCCGGGAGCAGTCCACGAGTGGGGAGGTTGCGTAGAGTTGTGAGTGTGTGCAACTCCCTTGTTTGCCCTCTGGGCACGCCCACTGACCGCCTTTGGCATCCACCCAAGCCGCCGGGTCTGCCAATCCCCCTTGCCCGTGCCCTCGGGTCGTCTCAGAAGTTCCCGGCAGACCCCCAAGTCCCGAGCACAAAGACCGCAAGGGTGCCTCTGACCCAGACTGCCGGGTTCTGTGTTCCCACCGATCCCACCACATTGTCTCTCGTGTGTCCAGAGGGTATGGGTATCGCGCCACACAGTCTGCTACCTTGTCATCTCGGGCCGATCTCTTCTTTCCCTCTCATCAGAGGCCTGCCTCTGCTTCCCCTTCCGGCTCCGATTCTTTTACGCATGACCGGGGAATAACTGTACTGTTTCTGCCGGCCGCCGTTCCATCTAAATCTCAACACTTCTTCTTCCTGCGTTCTCTCCTCTGTTTATATCTGCACTACCTCTCACACGTCGCAACAACACTCCATGAACTGGGCTCAGGGCAACCGGCCTAACAAAATGGCGCCCCCGGCCTCCATCAACATGTCCGTCCACTCGGCCGACCGGCCGTTGGACAATTACCAATTCACATTCGAGTCTTACCTGGACGACTCGGCCCAGATTGAGCCCGATGTATGTCCTGTGTTAATCAGCCTCCGCGATAATCCCTCCCGAATCATGTTAGGCACGGACTAACCACGATAATGCTCGCTAGTCAGGCAGTCATGACGTGTAGTATGTGCCCCTGTTTTCACACTCGGCCGCTCCGAGACCGATGGGGGTTTGTATCACCAGCTAATACGCCACAAGTGACACAAAATCCTTGTCGGACAGCATAGCCAGATCCCGGGAAGAATTTGGGAGGACATATCATTCATACCGCGCTGGATGTATGTTTTTTTTATCACTGGCCAACCCCGACTTCGCGCTGACAGTAGCAAGCCTATCTCTTCCCCAATGATAACCCAGAAAACGATCGCGTCGATGAACAATATGAGATCATCAAGATGATCATGGACGGGCGGCTCCATCTCGCCCCCTTCTCCGACGACCGCCCTCCACGGCGAGTTCTGGATATCGCAACTGGCACAGGAATATGGGCTATCGAGATGGGCGACAAGTACCCCGAGGCCGAAATCATTGGGACAGACCTATCACCCATCCAACCCGGCTTTGTCCCGCCAAACGTACGCTTCTTTATCGAAGACTCGTAAGTGACCCCCCTCGTGGTGAGTACGGCTCAACGCTAATGATACCATATCTACAGGAGAGATGATTGGTATGGTCCCCCACCTGGATTTTTTGCATTCTTCGAACGGTCACACTCTACACCCCCTCAATCTTACTTCCCAGGGGGAAAGAAGGCTGACACAGTCCAGGGACTACCCTGCCAAGTTTGACTTTATTCACACCCGGGTGACCCTCGGCTGCTGGTCAGACATGAAGAACGAGATCATCCAACGCTCGTTCGACCATCTCCAACCCGGAGGCTGGCTTGAGTGTCAAGAAATCCCCGCCCCGGTCATGTGCGACGACGGCACCCTGCCGGAGGACTTCGGGTGGCTACGGTGGGTCCGAGACTTTCGGGCTGGTGGACAGGTCGCCAATCGGCAGGTGGACCTCGGCCCTCAGTTGACGGGGTGGATGCACGAGGTCGGATTTGTTGACATCCATGAGATGACCTTCAAGATACCCATCAACGGCTGGCCCAAGGAGATGCGGCTGAAGCACATCGGCATGATGTGGCAGCGGAACCTGCTAGAGGGCTTGAGTGGGTTCAGTCTCGGCATGTTCAACCAGTTGGGCAAGACCGTCGAGGAGATAGAGGTGAGCAATGTGGCTGCCAGGAGAGGCCGAACCCCGCTAATATCAGTGGCAGCTCTCCCTAGTGGAGGTACGGAACGACCTATTCGACCGCAACGTCCATGCCTACCACAAAGTACATGTCGTCTGGGGCCGGAAGCCGGACGCGTAGCACGCCGAGCACCACAACGAGCCTTGTGAACTCGTTGCCGACCGTTAACAACGTCGAGTTGCGCCAAGGGAACTTCCCTAAGTTTCCCGCCCATCTTTGGCCGCGGTGTCGCCGTTTTAGACACCAACATACACCAGCCTTAGCTGCCCTACCGCCATCATCCTCACCGCGACCTGACGACGAAAAGGTGCCGTTATTTCCGCCCGCCTGCTCGAACGACCGTTACACTCCTCCCCAATCTTGACCCCCACATCACGACCATCCCCGAGACTCAAACTCGCCCTCAAAGTTAGCGACATCGATCCTGCTGCTGCTAAGGAGACGAACAACTAGAAGCTTGCGGGGGAATCGAAGGGAGGATAAATACTCCTGACTCGACCTCATTTTAGACGTCAGTTCTATCCGACACCGGCTTCAGGGGAGCACACCACCGGTGAACGGGCATCGCAAGGGGACCTGGCTGTTGGGCAATCCTTGGTGCGGAGGGGAAGCGTGAAGTAATGTAATAATGGGGTTGGGGGGATTGCCTACCCGGCGTGTATGTAGGGGATCGAAGCATTCTTCTTATGTATATATGGCATGGCAATTTACATAATAGGTCACAAACTTCGCACTGGCTGGTGGTGAGTTTTGGAGACGTGTTGGTGATGTATGTTGCTTTTGTGGCATGTCTACTGTATCCCTACTCTCACCACTTAGGTAGGTGATCACCTTCAGGAACTTCTTTAAACATAATCATTGGCGTGATGGGGGGCTCATGCGCACATCCACTGACACCCCATGTCGATTGTTGGTCACTTGTCTTCATCTCCTTTGTGTACTATTTTACCGTTTACCCTCTTCTTTCCTGTGGTTTCAGGGAACAAATCCCGGATTGACATAGTTATCTGTGGGTTTCAGTACTGTGTTGTCTGCGAGAAATCAGAATCATTGATGTTGGTTGTGGCAACTCGGCCCGGCGCGACGGGAGAAGGGGGTCAGTGGAATGGAGAGAAGCTCGAGGAAAACCCCCCGGTGCTCCACTGACCCCAGAGACCTTGGCGTGTGGGCCAGGCCTGGCTAGGGGCCCTGGAAGCGAGAGGGGGTGGTCCCTGGGTTCAGACGTGTGCTCAGTTCTCAGTTTCTTGAGTTAGCGCTCCTGAGCCCAGCCTCGCGTGTCCAAATTGACCCTCCCGAGCCGGGTTCGATCTGCGTCTCGCAGATGGACCGAGTCCGACAAGCTGACTTCTGATGCGAAGTGTTCAGATACCGTGGGAGCCGGGGAACGAAAGAGGCGAATGTCGAGAATCATCATCCTTATCTTCGCGTCATGAGTTCGGGGGATTGTTCAGACGCGGTGCTTAGTGCTTCCATAGTGCTCGTGCGTGCTTGGGCCGCTCCCCACAACAGCACCACTTCATGCGCTAACTTGGTGGGTAACTGCGCCGCTGGGCTGCTTCTGGGTCTTGAGGAGAGGAAAGAAAAAAGAAAGAAAAAGGTGCGGCCAACGGTTGGTTGGGTTGCAATTGCTCGCTTTTCCAAAATTGCGAGTGCAACTTGACGAGGATTGAGTGCATCCTCTTTTGCCGTCTCTTACCCGGAAAACTGTCAAAAAATGGCAGCGAGGCAGTGAGGCAATGAGGCAGCTCCTCATGGTGGAAGCGGCAAGCTTTTCGGCAGGCGCCGTGGATTGATGAATTGGCAGCCCCTCCAACCCCCGAACCAACCCCCTGAACCCTGGTCCTTGGTGGGACAAGTCGCGTGGGTCCCGGTCGAGTGTGGCCCGTCCCAAACCTCCTACCATCACACAAAGCAACTCGAACTCGAAACTTTGCCTTGTCTTTCGACTTTTGGTATCGGAGGACAAGTAAAAGTTCCGTTGTACGCATCATGTCCTCGGCACTAAGCAAGCGTCAGCAGGCGCGCAACGAAAAGGGCCTGCAAGACCTCCTCCACAACGTTCCCGGTAACAACTTTTGCGCCGACTGTCAGGGACGGAATCCCGGTAAGTGGCCCTCTGTCCTGAGGCCTTCGCAGCCTCACACCTCACACCGCGCAATTACTTCGCGAACAACATTGGTACTAACTCAGTCTCTCCGTCAGGTTGGGCATCATGGAGCGTATGCCTCCCCCCTCCATTCTCCCTCTTCACCCTTCCGTCCGAAAGTCTCGAACTGCGAACCCCGATGTTCCTGCATGCGCCCGCGGACGATGCACTTCGCTGATCGAATACTGACATGGTGGTTTGTAGTTGGGTATCTTCCTGTGCATGCGATGCGCCACCATCCACCGCAAATTGGGCACCCACGTGTCCAAGGTGAAGTCGCTGAGCATGGACAGCTGGACCAACGAGCAGGTCGATGTATGTGGGCACGGCGGCTTCCTAGTGGTCCTGCGCCTGAGCTAATACCAGTCTAGAACATGCGGAAAGTCGGCAACGTCGTGTCTAACAAACTATACAACCCCGACAACAAGAACCCGCCCGTCCCGATCGACGCCGACGAAGCTGACGGCGCAATGGAGCGATTCATTCGCCAAAAGTACATCGCCCGCACCTTATCCATCGGCAAGCGGCGTCCCGGCGGAGACTCGGACGACACCCCACCCCCGCTTCCCCCCAAGACGCCGAGCCGGTTCGGCCTCCGCTCCGCTTCCTCCATATTCCCCCTCGGGTCGAAGGCGAAAAAGGCGGCTGGGCACGAGCCGACCAGCCCGCAGGGCTCGCAAACCCAGCCGCCGTCTCGGAACAACTCGTCCGGGCTATTCGGTGTGAGTGTTGAACGCGACCGGTCTGAGGGAGATGAGACGGAACGGAAACTCGCCAGGCTCCGGGATATGGGCTTTCTGGATGATCAGAAGAACTCCATGGTGCTGAAGGGCGTGGGCGGGAGCCTGGAGAAGGCGATCGAGGCGTTGGTGCGGCTAGGGGAAGGGAGCGGAAGGACGCCGGCACACTTGACACCTGCTAGGGCTGCAACGATGCCGGTAACTCGAAGTCTCACACCCGGCGCAAACACGGAAACCGCTCGTAGTCGTCCCATCAGCCCGGCCAGCACGAATCCCTTCGACATGCTCGACACCCCGCCCCCGCCACAGCCGCTCTCTTCGCAATCGACCGGCACCCTGCAAACTAAGAACCCCTACCTCTCGACGAATCCGTTCGGCGCGCCGCAGCAAGCCCCCTCGGCATTCGATCTCGCCTTCCAGAACATGTCTCTGGCGCCACCGTCGCACCAGCCTTTGTTCCCTCACCATACGGGCGGTCTAGCACAGCAACAGCAAAACACGCAGCAACATAACGGCCAGGCGCTCTACCAGCAGCCGATGAATGGCCCGCTGACAGCCCCGCTGCCGACGGCGTCACAGGGTTACTCGGGCATGGCCATGCACGGCAGCCAGACGTATCCGCAGCCGATGCAGCCAGCCACGACCGGTTACAATCCCTTCTTTCCGGCCCAGCCACAGCAGCAGCCGCTGTCGGTGAACACGGCCCAGTTTGGTGGCAACATGGGCAGCAACCCCTTCACCCGGTCACCCACGAGAATCCAGTCGCCAACCCTCTCACAAATCCCCGAACAAACACAACAAAACTTTTATGCGCAACAACCGGCGCAACCCATGCAAACCATGCAACCCCAGGCGTCCAATCCCTTCTTCAGCCAGATGACACCGGGCGCGCAACAGTATCCGGGCCAGATGCAGACGCCGATGCAAATGGCCCAGCCGATGCCCCAGTACATGGGTATGGCTCCACAAGGGACCGGCTACATGCAGCAGCCGCAACAGCAGCAGCCACCGCGGCCCGATAAAGCGTCAATCATGGCGTTGTACAACCATTCTCAACCAACACCCGCCCAGGCTCCGTTTCAGGCCCAGGGAGCCGGACAGGCTACACCAGCACAGACGCCCAACTCGCTATTCTCGTCCCAGACCTTTCCGCAGCAGCAGCAGCAGCAGCAGCAGCAACCCCAGCAAGGCCAACCACAACCACAGCAGCAGCAACAACAAGTGCCGCAACCGACGCCCGTGAGCCCGGGGACGATGAGCAAGAACCCGTTCATGATGGCAACGGCGACGGCGCAGCAGCCGGCACCGAAGCATAATGTGAGCCGGGACAGCATGATGGCCGTGGGCCTGGAGTGGTCGAATGGGCGGCACAGTCCGGATGCGTTTGCTAGTCTGAGCGCGAGGGATACCCGCTGAGGCGGGGAGTGTGGGATGGGGATGGGATGAGCTGGGTGGGATGGATGGGAAGGGATGAAAGCACAGCTTCGGAGTTCTGATGCATTGCATATATATATGTGCTTGAATTGCGGTAATATTCGGGGTACGGATTCTTTGTATATAGGTAGCAGGTGCGTGGGTTGTGTGTCTGTATCATATTGAGTGGGGATGTTGTAGATGGGATAGGGGGCACTCCGTGGCTGGGTAAGGCAAGATGCTTCACAGCCCGGTCATCGCTACGTGCGCCCAATGAAGTGGTAATTGTGTTAGGCTGAAGCGGATTTAATCCCTAACTGTGCTATCACCCGGATGTTGCGCCCACCGTGAGCGAGTATATTGGGTGTAATCCAAGAGACAGTCCCATCGCGGCTTGGCTCAAGCCTATAATTACCTGCCCACCGTCCCCTTCCAAAGACGGTATCCTGCATGCTGCATGCTGCATCCCACCAACCACGGGGAGGCGGTTTTGTTGCTCTTCAGCCCTACGTTACAGCGTTGTGTTGTTCGCACTCGTAGCACATACATCTAGCACATCAGTCACTCAACTTTTAGAGAGGAAAAGGACTACTCACTGAAGTGGGCCACTCAGCTCTAAATCCGAACCCCTCAATCCGCGTGCGCGTGGATAGTTTGCTTCACCGACGACTCCGTTGCTGGATTCCCGAGCGTGACGATGCACCGAGTCTGTACCGTGAATGGAAGATGCATGCTCCCGCCCCCAACCAACCTGCATCCGCAGCCCTGTCTGCCTGCCTGTTGCCTGTCTGCAGAGAACAGGAGAGTGGGGATCGGGATGTAGCCGGGCGTATGGTAGCCAATGATGTGGCGACCGGTGGTTGCGAGCGGCTGACGGCGGAGGGAGAGAGGACGGGAGCACGAATGGCGTTGTGTGAAATGGATGATGGTTGATAAATAACCGTGTTGGCCCCCTTTTTCCCCGCCATTGCGAGCTGTGACGAGGTCGGCTGGTTTTGGTTCTGTGTTCGTTCTCTCATCGGTTATCGACCATCGACCACCGCCTCAGAGCAAGCCAGAACAAAACGTGAGAAGAGGTGGAAGCTAGTGAGAAGTTGGTTTTCGGAGGATTCGACGACGGTGAAAATCAGCGTGTGAAGATAACAGGATAAAAAAGCCGAGGGCGTTGTTGATTCCCGTTTCCTTTTCTCATTTCCCAACCCAAGATCAAGGCCATGTCAGAGAACGGCAATGGCACCGGTGGCGGGAGCCCCATGGCAAGCAACACGCTCATGCAAACCGTCCTTGAGCATACCCAGATCCCCCCGCCGCAGAGAAAGGTAGACGAGTTCTGGAGAAACTTTACGATCAAAGCTCCAGGGAAGGGTGAGTGACTTCAACAAAAACCAAACAAAACACCAGCAAAAAACTAACCACCAACCCGCACCAGCAACCACCATCCTCTCTACCACCAAGCACACTCAAACACACCTACACTCACTCTCCTCCTCACCACCATCAGCACAAACCAACAACCTACGACGCTCGCCGCCGCTCAATGCCGCGCCAAGGTCGCTCAGATCGTCGCCGAATGCTCGTCGCGTCAACCAAAAGTACTGCGACCTCCCACTTCGACCTGGACTACGACCTTGCGCCTCGGGCCAGTCGCGACTGTCTGGAA